ACAGGTGATTAGACGAAAAGAAAACAGAATTTGGAGTAAAATTCCGCTTCTGCCAGCTCTAATGACTGAGGAGGGAAGAGCGGGGTGCAGGGCTTTGGGGGAGTCTCTTGAATTTGTGTTTCTCCACGTGCCAAATGGAAATAAATATACTGTTTTGTAGGGCTGCTGTCTAATTCAAGTGATACAAGAAGTCTAAAAGTGTTTTAACCACGTAATATAAAAGTTGCAGTCTAGAGATAGAACTAGAAATTGGGTATAAAAATTTTACTATTGAACAACTTCAGATGCTGAAGTCACAGAATATCAAAGATGGATGGCAGCTGGGAAATCTAATCCGAGCAGCTGCCCATTGCTTCAGTACCTGTCACAGTCCCCCTGGGAAATGGGTATCAGGTTTTAGCCTAGACTTTTCTAAAGGCTTCCTACCGTGTGTCGTAGAAGTTATTTTAATATACTAGCTGGTAATTTGTTGGCGCCCTATGATTCACGTGCCTTTGGTGCTCACTTTGGAATTACAGATACTAAGTGAAATTCCTTTTGCCCATGCCAGTCTTCCCATAGCAGTCAGGCAGGGTTCCACTCTTCCATGTCTTCATGCCTTCAACTGCATCTCAAATGACAGTTTTTGGTTTCATAAGCATCTTAGTCAAAGCAATTGGTATGTGTTCATTTATGAATTGGTCCAACTAGATAACAAGGAAATAGACCCTTGCCCTGATTGTTCTGTGAAGTCTGGTTCTATTCAGAAACATTCATTTGACATCAATTTTCACCTCGATTGAGAGGACACTTAGAGAGTCAAGTAGGGTAAGCTGATGCTATCATGAAAGTAATGATAGTACATTTCCGTTCACAGCTTTCTTCTCCAAAGCCTTTTCATGTGTCAGCCTCCCTGATGACTCATGTCCTCCAGTCTGTCCAGTTGTCGTTGGGAAGGGTAAAGTCTCATTCACTGGAATAAACTCTTGGCTTCATGCAAAAAAAAAAAAAAATCTCGATGTCTCCCCCTAACAATGCTCAGGGATAAACAAAAAAATTCGCTTAGATCAACGCCAAGTTTCATGCAGAGAATTTACCTCGTGCTGCTCAGAAGGCAGAGTGACTTCAAATAGCTCACAAAGCAATCTCAAGACTCACACACTTCATTTTCTTTTTAAAGGAAAACAATACCATATAAACAATACCATGATAATTACAGCCTTGTGCTTGAAAAATAGGTTGTTAGATAATTTCAATCCATCTTCAGATTTATTACAATATTCTTTTCTAGAGATTCTGTATTCCAACAGTGTTGTTTTCAGACTTAGGACCTACATTATTTAGAATCATGCCATGGCCACAGATATTCCTATAGAGGAGGACTCACATGCAAACATGCTTCGTCTTTCAGATTGAATAAAAGCACAGAACTTGTAAGTGCTATATCTATTAATTAACAGAAAAATTCTTGGATAATTTCCAAGGGATATCTCAAGGTTATACAGGGACAAACACAGCCTTCCTTTTTATTTTTTTCCATAAAACCATGTGAAAAAGACAAGCTTTAGAGCTAGAAAATGGTAATAAAGCATAGGCTTTTCATTTTTCTAGCAATGACACCTTTCCCTCCATTCATTTTAAGAGTTCATTGAACAGTTCTTCTTCTCTTTTAAATTGTGAACTTATCCTAAATTATCATAATTTATAGTTTATCATCCCTTATTCATTCTAAGCATTTTGGAGAGTCCGAGTAAAAACATATCTCTCTGGTTTTCCAGGGAAACAGATTGCTCCAAATGCAGGTACTTGAGCCAAGGCATGTAGTCTTGCTTCGAGTGATCAGGGATAAGGACTCACTGTCCATTTAATTAAAGCAGGTAATAATTTTCTTCCACCTTTGTCTTCCTTCTGTATTTCCTCTCTTATTTGTAGAAGGCAATTTTTGGAGACCTACTCAACACTGCCAATGGAAAGACACATGGGCATCCTCAGGAAAATTGTTTTAGCCAAAATTCAGATCCACACACACAGCAAGTGTTTGTAATATTGGGACCTTATCTTCTCTTCAAAGATATGGAGTCTCTCAAATGTTATAATCATGGTTGGTTCATCCTTTGTGCTATTTACCTAATGCAGTAAAGCACTAGTCAAAATGCAATAATGGGGGCTGGGGATTTAGCTCAGCGGCGTAAGCGCCTGCCTTGCAAGCAGGCAATCGTGAGTTCGATCCCTGGTACCGATTTAAAAAAAAAAAAAAAAAAAAAAATGAAAAAGACAAAAAAAATGCAATAATGGGGATGTACAAGAATTCATAGACACTCTAAAACTAGCACCTTTTCTAAAGAAGTGAGCTTTAAAATTGCCCAGCGGAGATGAGGTTTGGGGTTCTTGACTGTTTTTTCAAGGTCTAACTTGAGAAAAACAAACAAACAAACTGTGAATCTCAGTGATTTACCTTCCCCAAAGTCAACAGTAGTGCTAGAGGTAGCTCTCAGGGTTTACAGGGTGATTTTAGGTGTGCTGTCCTCTAAAGGCCTCTGACAGAGTTATAACAGAAGGTCTATGTCAATGTCCCATCAATTCATTCACTCTGGATGTTAAAGGTGATTGAAATATATTATCAGTGACACCAAATTCTTGAAAACAAAGCATAAGGCTTTGAGCAGAAGTGGTCCTTTCATCTCTCACAACTCCAGAATGAAGAAGATGACATAAAATCAAACTGATGCCAATCTAGAGGAACAGCACAAGCCCTTCTGAAGTGATATTGAATCAGAAAGGACATGCAATTGGAAAATTAAGTCTAAATCCTGAAATTCCTGGCCAGGTGATCTTGAATAACTCCTTGAGCCTCTCTGAACTTTTATTTCTCCACCTGAAGAGTGAGGACACAATTGTTGGATCTGTCATTCACACTGCAGCTATACCTGGGCTTTTAAAACCTGTGAGCCTTTAGAATGCCATCAGAATAATGATTCTCATTTTCACAGTAACTTTAAGCACATGTGTCTTGTAAAAAACAGGGAAACAGATACACATTAAAGGGAAATTTCAAATACCCACTGTTGTCATTAAGACAGCCAATATATGACAGTCAGGAATGTTACTTTAATTTGACCACCCACGGGAGGAATCTTAAGGTAAGTTTTATGGCAGGTTTCAATGTGTTTTTGGGAAGAAGAAATATCTTTGTGGTTATATAATTAAAGCATCTCTACTTTGCTGTTTTAAGCTGAAGTGGCTCTGCCTCCAACACTATTTCCACCACTATTTTTATCTATCTATCTATCTATCTATCTATCTATCTATCTATCTATCTACCTACCTACCTACCTATCATGTATCTACTTACCTACCAACATATAGGCTGACTACCTCTCAGTATTTCCTCCCATCATGTGGTATTTAGGTAAAGTCTTACAGCCAGGATTCTAATACAGTCCTGCAATTTATTAGTTATTACTGGGGAAATACTTAACATTATTGCTGAGGCTTAAATTCCTAATGTGGAAATCATAACAGGATCCGTTTCATAGGGCTATGTTTTGCCGTAAGGATGAAATAAGTTAATTCTTGTGAAGTACATAAAATAGTGCAGCCATATCATAAACACTCAATAAAACTCATTTTTTCAAGTTCTCTCTCATGGTTCAAAACCACCATTTGGCAATGATTATTTACCAATTGGTGACACATGTTCTACTGTTGGTAGAAATTTAAATTTAAATCAAGTATTAACTATGGGTTTTTAATGGGCATATCTTGCTTTCTTAAGTAAACTGCAATCCTCCTGAGCACTGGAGAACTTTGATTATTGAGCATGTTCCACATGCCAAGAACTTGGCTAAGTGCTTTCTATAAATATTTCATTCATTGCTCATAACAACAGTATAAGATAGCTATTATTTCTGTATTAGAGATAAAACAAAACAAAAACCGAAGGGATAAAGAGTAATTTGCCCAAGATTTCTAAATTAAGTTTGTATAAGAGGTACTACACTTTTTATATTCAAAGATAATTTTTATGCATTTCCCTACATCATGTTTAGGAAGCTAGTCATCAACATGATTGCCATCCATAGTCTATTTTCTTATAAAATTATATTTATCTCTTTTTCTATATTAAATTACACTTCTCTCTACATATGCATATATATTACATATAGAGATAGATATTTCTCTCCCCTCCTCTCTTTAAATATTGTCACTATATTTAAAGCACATATACTTATAAGTTATTCCTCCAATTTTAGTACATCCTAATACACATAGATCTTATTTTTCTGTGAAAGTCTTCACCATAGAAAAATCTAAGAGTCACTGGCTTGAAGGGGCCAGGTTCGAGTCCCACCAAGTCCTTTTATAAAGCATTCCTGATAGAACTTTTACAATCTGTGACATCTGACCTTGACCTGCTTACATGTGTTACCACTTTCAACCTAAACTACCAATTACTGTGTTTGTCTTATCACCTTTGAATCATTACAACTTCCATAACAAATTATACACTCATTCTACCTCCAAAGTTGGTATATAACTCATAAATGGGTCCAAGGATAACCTGTTCAGAGTTACTTGCCATTCTGAAGAGGCAGGAAGTTAAAAAACATCAAAAGAACATCTTTTCCTGAACTCAGATGGGGCAAGGATTGAGAGAGCAGAGTTTCGGTAATTTGCAACTCTAAATTTTATACAAGAATCTTTAGATCAACGAGAAAGCTGAATCTGCCATTTTTCCTAATGGAAATCTAAATTGTAAAAAGATGATCTTAAAATCAAATTTGCATTTCAAACACCTCTACGGAACTCTGAGCTTATGGTACAAGTTACAGAGCTATTCCCAACTCTGACAGTCTTTCACTGGAATTGCCAGAAATGTTGAAGGGGGTGTGCATGGGTACCATCTTTCAAACATCAGGACCCAAATATTTTACCAGTGGAGCTGATGATATTTCCCATTACCTGGGAACCCAAATTAAACTGGACATGTACATCAACAGACGTCTCCAGACCCCACTCACCAAAGTATTCATCAGCAGGTGGATTTTCCATGTCATACAGCATCTTTTTGGTGAGGTGTTCCAGCTCATCTTCTGGGCGGAAAGAAGGGGGAGCAGATGGAGGCCCCACAGGCCCTGTGTGTCCTCCCTGAAAAACAGAAAGAACGTTTTACTTTCATTGGAGACTAAACATTGACCAAGGCCATCAGCATGAACCAGTCACGTTTGCACTGAGGAGGGAAAAATCACTGGACTTTTTATTTGGATACTCAGGTATTAGATTAACACTTGGCCCTTCTTATTCAGTACCTGGTCTCGATACATTTCTTCATTCATTTTCTTTATCTAAATGAATTATCAATTGGGCTTTAGAAATCCATGTCTGTCACAGTAGGAATCTACTTCATTCAACAATTGCCAAATGGTTATTATGTATCATTTTGTGGATTTCTTGAAATGATGAATAAATCAAGCCTGTTTCTCGGCAAGGCTTCATGGTTAAGATGAAAGTACAGGCAAGTTAATAAAAACAAAGCAGCTATAGAAATTGCACAGTCAAGGTATTAGGAAGGACCTCTCATAGGATCTGGGAGGAAAGTTTCCTGCAGAGAGGCATCAAAGTAGAGAGGAAACATGCAGGTAAAAGTTTGCATTCAGATAAGATTCAAAAAGAAAAAAAAAAAAAAAAACAGGCACCATGAGGGGCCCCTGGCAGTCATGTATTTCTGGCCAAATGTGAAGTATGAGATGAGAAATGAGATGCATGCAATAACATCAGATAAGGAGTTCTGAGAATAAAGGACTTTTTGTTCTAATTAAAAAAGCAATTTTTTCCCAGCACTCAAAATAGCCAGATACAAAATGAGGACAGTAAAAGCAGTAGCACTGTCACTAGGCTGGTGTTCAGAAAGGCGGGCAAGGCAGAAGAAAAGCAATGCAAGAGAACCAAGTGCCAGTGTGAGATGAACCAGCTCAGGAACCCACGGCGTGTAGAGGAAAAAAATGTCAGATGCTAGATGTTAAGCAACTTCATACTAAAAAAAACAGGAAATTTATGGTATTCTAAATGAAAGGAAGTACAGGATAGTTCCTTTTCCTATATGATAGCTTAATCATTTCAAATGTCATCCCCAATATCCCTAATCAAAGTATTATACAAATAGAAAAACTTGTTAAAAATTTAGAAATGGTGCTCCATATGGTGGTTCATGCCTGTAATCCCAGCACTTGAGAGGCTAAGATAGGAGGATCGTCACTAGTTCAAGACTACCCTGGGCTACAAAGTGAGCTCAAGGCCAGCTTGAATGCAATAATGAGACTCTAGTCTCAAAAAGGCAAAAAAAAAAAAAAAAAAAAAAAAAAAAAAATTAGAAATGAGGCAGTGGGAAGATAAACAGACTGGGAATACTCTTGTTGGGTGTTTATGCATTTTTAAAACAGTTGGCCAATACTTCTTCTTTTCAGAACAGTTTATGAGGCTATCCCACAAAACTGAAAAGCTGTGTATTCAGTCTCCTAGTGTCTTCATTTAAACACAAAGAGTTCTCAGATGTGAAAATCCTGCAGAACACAAATCTCTGCAGAAATATTACCATTCCAGTGATCAACATTGATTTCAACAACTCCAAGGTGGGGATTACTCATTTGTGTGAGACCTAAACACCTTCTCAACATATGTGAGAATGTTCACGGATACCTCTATGTTCTTTTCGCTAACAATTTTCCAGTTTTTAAAATGTATGGAAAGTTGAAGTACAAACATGTAGGAAGCTGATAAGGCCAAGAATATTTTATGTTGGTCACTAACCATACCCTAGAATTTTATTTCACTGTTGGAGTATTTTGATTAGAGATTAGAAAGAAATGAATAAACTGTGGTCAGGTGGTTGAGACACAAATTCAGTCCCAGAAGCTTATGAATCATTACAGCAATTTGCCCAGTGTGAAATAGGGAAATTGAGATCCAAAGTTCAGGGCAAGGCTAGGTACAGTGAAATTAGGAGACAAGCCAATAGCGGATTCTCCCTTACCCAATAAACATCAAATATTAAACTTAGGACATTGTCTAATTGCAGACATTATTAACTCTATAGTGTTGGTGTGTGGATTTAAAAAGCTACGGATTCATCCATTCCTTGACTGGTTTGTTCATCTACTCATTCTTACAGCATTTTGCTCTCTCTCTCTCTCTGTGTGTGCGTGTGCATGTGTGTGCGTGCGTGTGTGTGTATACTTATCTACACACATCAGAAAGGGATCAGAGATGTATTAGGTGCAATGTTTGCTTTTGAGATGATTGGACTGAGGTTTGAGGGAGAAACTTACACAAATGATTAGTTTTAAGTAGCACAGTATATTAGTGGGCTTGTACACAGAAATGCACACTGGATGAATGATTTTTCAATGTTAATGAATTTTAAAATGTACACAGGTTATGCATTTCTAGAAAAAATTATTCAGAAACACTCAAATAAGTGCATAAAATTATATGGCCCAGAACAATCGTAGGAGCTGTATTTGAGAGGGTGATTAAAAGTAACAAAGTAGCCATCAAATGGATCATCTAAATAAACATGTTGCACGCGTGTGCACACACACACACACACATATGGTACATCTCTGTGTATAAGTAAACAATGTGATAAAGATATCTTTATAAACTCAGTTGCAAAACAGGCTATCTAAATGACAATCCTATCTTTGTAAATTGACATAGGGATAGGAAAAAAAATCTGAGAAGAAATATACTGAAGTGTTAAGGGGGATTTTTTTCCCTTGGGGGTAGAATCCCAAGGGACTTTCAATTTCTAAGTTTATTTCTTTATTTTATAGTAAGAAACTTTACTTTTGCAATCCAGAAAACAGGATTTTTTTTTATGATGATGATTATGGTAAAGATCTTGGATCCTAAGTCAAGGGAGAGATTCCAGGAATTGCAAAAAGTCAGGGTTGAGAAGAAGTTTAGTGTGAGTGGACAAAGCTACCATGTTTCAGGGTTTAAGCCTGGAGAGACAGAGAGAGGATGAGTGAGGTCATCTCTGCTCTCACATGCTGAGGTACTCAAGACTTTTCTGTGAGTCAGATGGCGATGAATAAGACCATGGACAACTCGCAAAATCTGATGGGTTAAACTTTCTCTTGGTAGAAATGGCTTCCATAAAAATGCATATGGAATTTATTTAAAATTTCAAGAAGTTCACAGATGACAGAGAACATATCTGCATCTTCTTAGAAGCATTCAGCGAGTAGAAGCTATCATACAGCATCTGAGCATGTGAATGATCTAATTAGATTTGGAGAGTTCTTTCTGGAGTGCAGGGAGAATGACAGAGCTGTTAAGACTAGAATGACAGAGGGGTTTGTGGCCAGAGATAGGCAAGGAGTATATGAGAACTGGACACAGATCCTTAACTACAACATTGGCTTGGTGTCCTTAGGCAAGTTTGTCAAATTTCGTAGTTTCACATTTCTTTCTGTTCACTGGCATGCCAATGTATCTATCCGTTAGGATGAGATACCTGCGTCTCACACTATATATAACTCACTCCTTTCACACCATCATAATGGAAGGTTTCTCTTTGAATCTCCTTAACAGGCCTCTGAAGGCTGGCATTGTCCCACTGCAGCCACCGATAATAAGGATGGGGAAGTAAGCTAAATCTTTTACCCAGATTGGCAATAAAAAGAGAACTTGAGCCAAAGTATACTGTCATCTGAATACAAATTCCTCATGTCTTACCAAACACTGCTTCCCTTAGAGTGACAGTAGAAAAGAATGAGCTGTTACTAGTAATAACAATCACACTAGCAGTTTTAATGATATCAACGGCTATTCAGGAACACGTGGTAATTCCTGCTTTTAGTCATAGGGCAAACCACAGAAAATGGACACAGACTAAGATTAAATGTGCATCTCATTCACTTTCAACACAAAGGTGCTGAGAAGCTGAATCTAAGCTAGAAATTTAGGTTCTACCATTCGCACATACATTTCACGTAGAAGTCTAAATGCTTACACTGCATAAAAAAGTATCATTCTTTTTACTCTCCAAATATTTTTATTCTCCTTCCTATTTGTGTGCCATATTGCTTGTGAAATAGCAAGTTTGGAAAGGATCTTCTTTTTAAAAGATTCTACTCTTTTATATAAAGATGCTGCTCAAATCAGGATGGGGATATGCACTGATAACCCCATTATCATCAGTCTTGCCTTGGGGTGCCTACCCTCCGGAACATTACAGCTCACTCCACCGGGGATCCTGCAGTGTTGGGTGCCCACCCTTGCAGTCTGGTAGCTGAGCCAAGCGCCAGGGCCCAGCATCTTGAGTGAGGATGACACTTCAGGCTACTATCCCAGGAAAAGATCAAGATTACAAACTTAAAGTATGGTTTATACTATATGCGTATCATTCTTCAACAATTAAAGTCTAAAAATTGTAAGTGGAACCACGGTAAGTTGGGGCCATCTGTGATACTGATCATTGATTTCTGGTATTTTGATGAAGAAAGGCTTCAAAAGATCATTTATTTCTCAGTGTTTCTGAAATTTATTTCTTTACAGGACCCCACTTCTATCCCCAATCAGTGCCTAGTACTTAACACCTGTCAAATACATACAGGGAAAAATACAAGATTATCCAGTTAGGCTGTTTCTGCCATCAAGGAGGATATCCTTGGACTTCCCCCCAGTGTTCAGTTCTGTAAGGAGTCATTCAGTACTTTTTTCACTCTGCTAAACAGATAACCCCTCTCCCCATGCTCAGGACTCATCCTAGATTATGGAAAATGGCTGCATCCAACTTATTTTTTAATGAGCAAGTTCTCACGCAGTGAAATTGAAATCTTGGAGAAGTCACTAGAAGATGACTTATGTTTTCTTTTTCATTCCTTCAGAAGCAGAAATACAGGTGACAGCAGTTACCTTCTCACTGTGCCATGATGTTTTATCATCTCATGACCGCTTCCAAGGTGCACACCCCCATGTGCCTATAATCTCAAATGCCCTCTGTACAATGCGCAATCCTATTTTATGGATGTGGAATTGGAACTTAAGGATATAAGCGACCAAGCCCAGGTGCAGAAACCTGATGGAAGCCAGAGTGTGCCACCTGGGTGAATGTGTGTGATGCCGTGCATGGTCCCTTCCAG